CTGTAGGGTGAGCCGAGGTGGAGGGAGCCTGGGTGGGCTCAGGTTGGCAGGTACGAAGGGGAAGGGCAGTGCCCTGGAAGATACGGAGGACAGTCTAGAGCCTCCGCCTTGAGAGGCGCCTTGAAGGCCACGTAATAGGATCCCAGTCCCGTCGCTGCATCTTGGACTCACCACTTTCTAACTGTGACAGCTCAGGCAAGCTATGTAATCTTAGTTTTCACATCTGTAAGATGGGGCCAGCAGGTGGTGTAGTGGTTAAGGTGCTGCACTCCCACAGAACTGACCGCAGTTCAAGTCCCAGACTTGGTGGCATGAGACTCATGCCAGGCACATGTGCTCATGTGCTCAAAATCCTGGGAGGAGAAAGGATTGTGGTGTGGCCATCCCCCCTGAGGGGTGCTTTCTTGCTTTCTGTCTCTCTCTCTCTCACTGTCTCTCTGGTGGGTGCATGTGCACTGTAGCAAAAATCTCTTTTAAAAATATGGGGATATGCCACTTAACTTCACAGGGGCTTTTGCAGATTAAGAGCAAGTTCCAGCACTCAGTTGAGGATCAGTAACTGGTGGCTCTCCTTGTAGGAGAGCTGGCTTCTTTGGAACCTCCCCGTCTCTGGCCAAGAAGAGCTGAGCAGACACTACGTGCATCCAGAGGGTCTCTGTCCAAACCCCCCTCCCGACAGGCAGGGCACCCCAGCAGCTGCACTCCCAGTCGAGCCCCTGTCTGAGAGCCCACTGTGTTCTGCAGGGCTGGTCTTAGAAGGCTTCCGGCGGGAGCAAGGCCCCTTCCCAGCCTTTCCTGACTCCCCTAGGGCCAGTCTCTCCTACCGCAGACTAGACTAGACTTTCCTGCCTCCTGCTGCAGACAACCCGTCTCCACTCTGACCCTGTCCTTCCGGCTTCAGATCAGTGGCCTCTTCTCCTCCCTCCCAGCTCGCTGCCTGAACCTCTGCTCTCCATCAGGGTGACCTCTCACTGCCTTGGCCTACCCACTTCCCTGGTCTTAGCTCTGCTGGGCTCTCCATGCCCTGCTCACACACCTTCTCCCACCTGGCCAGCCAATCCGTGCTCACCTGGACGGGACCTGTCCTCACCTGCACTCTCCCCATGCACTCTACCCCTTGACCTTTGCCTTCTCTGGCCTAATCTCGCACTTGCATGTGGTAGTCCCCTGCATCGCCTTTCCCCACCTCTGTTTGTTGTCCGTGTTCTCCCGTCTTCAGGTGTCCATGAGCTAGGCCCCTGTATCTCACCTTCAACCTGGGGCACTGGCATCCCTCTTCAGTTCACCTTGCGTTTGCACCCGGACCAGTGCCACCCCGTCCTCCCCACTGAGACCACTAGACCTCACCTGGGCACACCTGTCTGCACCCCTCACCTGCCTGTGCCCTGCTGCCTGCCGTCCACCTGCCCTCACTCCTGTCAGCACGACCCCTGGTCCAGGGAAGGCAGTCTCCCCAGGGGTTCTGGGGACCTTCCTTCAGCTGGTGCCAGGGGCCTTCTGATGGCCTCACTCCCTGACCCCAGGCCATCTCCGACCTCCCTGCGAGAAAGGTCCTCTTACTACCTCCATGGACAAGCCCCGGCTGCCGACAGCTGCCCTTCCTCTGGCTGCAGTGGGACTTCACAGGGCTGGGCTGGGCCCAGGGTTGGAGGGAGAGGACTCCTGTTCTCTACTTTCCTTCCCCTAGACCCTGTTCTGGGGGTGGTGAGGGGGGAGTCCCAGCTGCAGTGGGTGGAAGGCCCCCAGCTGTGCCCTAGCCTCGGCTTTGCTCAGGAACCCTCCAGGGCTGGGAAGGTACCTGAGGCAGACCCAGCGTCCAGTCCCTGGCTTCTTCCTCAAGGAGCAGATCCACCTGCCAGGCCCAGCCTCCTGAGGGACCCCATGGCCTCTGGGTCTGCCAGGCTCTGTTTTGGGTTCTCGGCTGGGGACCCTCAGACAGTGTGAGGGTCACACTTCTGTGTTCACAGCAGGGTCTTTGTCTCTGTTGACTGCTGGCTTCTCCCCAGCCTTTCTGCACAGACCAGGACAGTCTTCGTCCTCATTTCCTTGTGTGGCTCTCCCCTTGACAGCTCTGTCATCTCTGCTGAAGGCGTTTTCTCACTATGGGGTTTCTAGCCCACTGCCGCAGGGCAGGTGTCTCCCGAGAACACCTCTGAATCCCGCTGCCTGGAGAGTTCAGGGGTGTGGTTGGGGCGAGGAGACTGTGGGATCAGGGGCCCCGTCTGGGGAGATGTGTGCTCCTGCCTGGAGCCTTCTCCACCTCTGACACCTTTCTGAGGAGGCAGACCCACCTCCTGGGGTCTGCACCAGGCCCATTTTCACCCCTCGGCCTGGGGGCACTCAGGGGTGGGCTGCATGGTGGGCCCCGCTTTCCTGACTCCTCACTGAAGGAGCTCATGGGCCTCGTGTTATGGCTTTGGCTTTTCTGCTGGTTCTTCAAGGAGATGCTGGAGAAAGGTGGGACTTGACTCAAAACCCAGTGGTAGTGGGGAGCCCCATGGCTTTCTGCAATGCCTTGGTTCTCCTGCCTGTCGGGTGGAGAGCACCACCCACCTTCCAAGCTGCAAGGGTGCTGAGTCCTGGAGGGGGCCTGGCAGAGCGAGAGGTGCCAGCTGGTTGGCTGGGTTGGGACTGGCCTTGGCTTCGCGCCTCTCCTTCGGTCTCAGAGGTAGCTGCTTTTCAGATCAGCCAGGTGGTGTGGTAGATCCTACATGGCCAACCATGTGGTTCGAGTCCCAGACTTGGCAGTTGGAAAAACATGCCAGGTACATGTGTGTGCCCAAAATCCTGAGAGGAGAGCAGTGGAGAAGGGGTTGTGGTGCGGCCATGCCCCGGGGGGAGGGAGGTGCCTTCTCACTTTCCCTCTCTTTCTCTTTCTGTCTCTCTCTGGTGAGCAAATGCACCCTATAGCAAGTTTTTTTTTTAAAAAAAAAGAAGAAATAAAAACACTCGCTTTTCAGGGAAGAGCTTTTGCCTATGGAAGGCCAGCGTGGACATGAGCACTAACGTCCCAGTCTGCTCCTGAGAGAGCCTCTTCCCAACCCGGCCCAGGCCCCGACAGTCACACCCCCCCCAGATCCAAGGTCACTCCTTTTTCTCATCCTCCTTTCACAATCCCACTCTCTAGCCTCCTTTTTCCCCGGAGACCCTGGTAAAAGCCCCTGTTCGCTCCAACTGCAGCCTGCGTTCCCTTTCCCATAAACAGGTTTATAGCCGTGCCTGCCCAGACGGAGTCTACGCCGGAGGCAACTGGGGCTGCCGTTTGCAACACAGGCCCTGCGTCATGCCCTAGCGACGCTGCATACTCTGACGGCCACGAGACACTCCCTGGGCTGGGCCGGGCTGGGCTGGGCCGGGCTGAGCTGGGTCCTGTCCTCTCTCCCCTTTGGCCCCAGGTCCATAGAAGGGAGCGAGAACCCCATAAATGAGTTTCCCTCCTGCTCACATTGGGTGGGGGAGCCAGGCAGACAGACATTTAGGCCTTATAAAGACGTGGCTGGGACGACCACCCTAACGGCCCGAGAAGGCGGCCGGTCAGTGTTTGACTCATCGTGGGTCCCCGTGACTAGCCTGGGTGTCTGTGGTGTGTCCGAGGCCCTGGGGAACGTGTGCGGTGTGGTGGGCTGGGTGGTGAGTGTGCTGCCTGGGTGGGCCCCCTCACTGGCTCTCTGGTTCTGTCCTGCACCTCCCTGACTGCCGGCTCTGGCCCTTCTCCCTGCAGACCGAGCTGTCACTGCAGAAGGAGCAGCTGCAGCTCAAGATCATTGAGATTGAGGACGAAGCCGAGAAGTGGCAGAAGGAGAAGGACCGCATCAAGGTGAGGGGCTCCGGACACTGGGCTCGTTTTACCTGGGAGGAGGTGGGCCTCGGCTACTGTCTGAAGTCCCAGGTCCACACCGACATCCTGTTCTTGCCTCTTCTGGCCTCCTCGATCCTGTCTGGCAAGCCTACCAACTCCCTGTCTCAGTCTGGGCCAGGCGTCCAGGCAGGACCTCACCTGTCACCCAACACTTATTTTGTATCAGTAAAAGAAAACCCCAGGTTGTCCTCCAGTGTGTCTTCCAACATCCTCCCAACTGCTCTGCCTGGCATCCCACCCAGTCACCGCTACATGTCATTTCTCCCCCGTTTGTGCCGGTATGGCTAGGTGTCTGTCAGGGTCTGGGTGATTGCATGCCACCTGCTGAAATCGTTGGCTCTGGACTGTGGCCACAGGGTCACCAGCCAGTGCGCTTTCGGAGTGATGTTAGATTCTGGTTGGGTTTCACTTATTTGGTCATAAGTGAACTCCTGGCCCTACAGGAAGTCACTGAAGCATGGAATGGCAGCTCATGTCACCCTGCAGGGGCTAGGAGCCAGAGGGGATAGGAAGGTGACATCCCCTAGTAATGCCCGAATGAGCAGTGGGACAGTGGGAATGCCTGACCCCGTGTTGGAAACCCAAGAATGCACCCCTTTTCGTTCTGAAACCCTCCTTCCTTCCTGCCCTGACTCTGAACCCAGAGCTTCACCACCAACGAGAAGGCCATCCTGGAGCAGCACTTCCGGGACCTGGTGCGAGACCTGGAGAAGCAGAAGGAGGAGGTGAGGGCTGCACTGGAGCAGCGGGAGCAGGACGCCGTGGACCAGGTGAAGGTGATCGTGGACGCTCTGGACGACAGGGCCAAGGTGCTGCATGAGGACAAGCAGACACGGGAGCAGCTGCACAGCATCAGCGACTCGGTGCTGTTTCTGCAGGTGATGCGTGACTCTGGGACATTGGTTCCTCGACCCTCACAGCCCATCCCATCCACTCTCCCAGACCCTCATCCATCCATCCATCCAAGCTCTGTTCTGTGTGTCCATGGAACTTTCCCATCCCATCCATTCCCCTACCTGCTCTCAGGAGGGCACACAAATACACTTCAAGTTTGCTTGTTCTAACCAGCGCTCTGGGCTCAGCGGGAAGGAGTTCTGTGATCGATGAGTGATGCCTGCTCTGGCTGGGATGCGTGGCATGCGAGTGCGGTGCACTCATTATCTCAGTCCGGCCTGTTGGTCTCTTCACCCAGTCATCCTTCCACCTGCTGGAGTGCTTGGGATGCCCCTGCATGCACAGCGCTCTGGGGTTCTGTGGCGAATAGAGAAGGGGAGTCATGCTTTCTGCCCCGAAGCAGCTGCAATCCAACAGGGAAGATAAGACCGAACAATTAGAGAACAATACAGGAAAGCGTGTAATTAAATGATAACGCACATGGCTCAGGAGATAAGTGCCCAAGGAAGCTCAGGGAACTTCCAGCAGGCTGGGACAATCGGAGACAGCTTCCTGGAGGAGGTGGAGTTGGAACTGGGTCTTGGGTTAAGATATGGAAGGAGGAGGGCTTCCCCAGGGAGGGGAAAGAGAAGTGAGAAGTGAGGGTGCCTCAGAAGGTGGAAATACCTCCGGCTGACCCATTCCTCGCTTAGTGCTGGGTCTCCACAGCGGTGTTGCTCTCAGAAACCCTGCGAGGGAGACACGGGGCACCCGTGTAGAGGTGCAAACCACAGAGTCACAAATCGGTATGCGTGTGACAGCAGGGATGTTAGCAGCATTGCAGTGGGACGCTCCCATTTACGGAAGCAGCAGCTAATGTCCAAAGACAGACACGGGAGCTCGTCAGTAGCAGAGCTAGCCCTCAGTCCCAGCTCCCAGCACAGAGCCTTCCAGCTGGCCTCTGAGAGCTCCCCGCAGAGAAGGGCCCCTAGCTCACAGCTCCCAAATCCCCCTGACCCCAGCTAATGACGTCTGCCCTTCCTTGGTAGGAATTTGGTGCCTTGATGAGCAATTACTCACTCCCTCCACCCCTGCCTACCTACCACGTCCTGCTGGAGGGGGAGGGCCTGGGACAGTCTCTCGGCAACTGCAAGGACGACCTGCTCAACGTGTGCATGCGCCACGTGGAGAAGATGTGCAAGGCCGACCTGAGCCGCAGCTTCATCGAGAGGAACCACATGGAGAACGGTAGGTCCCCGCCTGCTGGGCCCCGCTGCAGGGGCCGCCCTCCCCCGGATCAGCTCCTGCTGCCAGGCCAGGCTGCTGTCCAGCTCGCTGGCCTCTCGCTATTCCCAGCCACCGCACCTGAGGGTGTTTGGACCCAGGATTCAGGGCTTAAATGGCTGCTAAAGTTATGCAGCTATTTCAGGAGCCACTAGCTCGGAGAGCTGCACTAGCGTCCTCGCTGTAGCCCATCTGTCAGACTCGGGGTCAGTTTCACTGAGATCCACGTCTGACTGTCAGGCCAGTCCGTGGCTGTGGACGCTGCCACTCATACAGGGCAGACTCCAAACTGGCAGCTTTGCAGACTCCAGTGGGCGTGAGCCAGAACCGCATTCTTCCTTGGAGAGAGACCTTGCGTGTCGCCGTGGTCATGCTGAGTGGTGTTGAACCAAAAGCTGGACTTGGCCCAGTGGGAGGACCTGAGGATGGGGGGGCCCACAGAGGGTCTCTGTGATTCACTGACTGCCCTGAAGTCAGCTTCTCTCCTGAGTCATGCTGTCCCTGTTGACTCAGGCTTTCAACCTGAGGAATGACCCTGTTAAAGCCTTTCCCACCCAGTCCCTGCAGGGCCTGAAACCTGGGCACTTTCTCCAAGGCCCCACCTGGTGGCCCAGCCAAGCATGAGGCTTGGAGAATGCGGACACAAACACCCGAGGACATGACCCCTGTATCTGGTCTCCAGGCAGAGCACATGGTTCTCTGGGGGAAGGGGGAGAGTGAGCATGCAGAAGGTCGGGGTGCAGGGGCTCTCTGCGCAGCCTGGTGCTGCGTCCCTGTGAGACACAGGGGCTGCCCTGTCATGCCTGAGGGCAGATGAGCCAGTTCAGCAAGGGGACCACTTAACTTTGAATGGCACTCAGGTACCAGAATCCTAGTGACAACTGCAAGCTGACAGGGATGGTGGTGGCTGACCGTGCCGGGGCTCCATGCGCTGGGCCGCACTGAGCTCTCTGCTCGGTCACCTTGTTTTCCCTGTGGGGCGCTGTGCATTGTGCAGACGAGAAGGCCGAGGCTCAGGGTGGCCCCTGTTCAAGGGCGCACAGCCAGGCAGGGCACTGGCGGAGTCTGACACTCAGTCTCCTGTGCCTTCCACCCAGGAGCTGCAGCTATCGTGCGTGTGGCAGTGGGGGTGTGTGTGTGATGGTCAGTGTGCCCTGGGCGCAGACCTAGAGGGGTTTCCCTCAGGTGAGGGCTGGCCAGACCTGAGAGGACAATCCTGAGTGGGGTGGGGCCTGTGACCTCGCAGGAACAGTTCAGCCTCCGGGCTGCTCATGCCCCGTTTCTAGGTCACGATGGGGCTGGCTGTGCTGGCCATGGGCTCTGGGCAGGTGTGGCCCGTGTGGGGTGGCGAGGGGCAGGAATGGGCACTGCCACTCCTGTGCCCAGGGCTGTGGGGAGGTGGCCTTGCCTCTGCAGGGGTGTGTCTGCTGTGGAGGCGAGGGGTGGGTGGCCCATGAGGCACACCGTGGAGTGACCACCCACTCTGCCCTGATGATGTCTTACTCGTCAGAGCAGGCCTCTTGCCCCACGCTCCGAGGCCCAGGTGCCAGGAGGCACGAGGCCACCTTCATCCTGTGCTCCGAGGGGTTCTGGAGGGTTCTGGGGGGCTCTAGAGGGCTCTTGGGGGCAAGGGCTCAGCTTTTGCAGGGATGTTTGTTTATATTCGGATTATCTACCAAGTGCCAGGACCCTGCTAAATGTGGTGACCAAGGAGAAGGGTTGGAGCCTTCTCTTGCTCAGGAGAGACAGAGAGGAAGGGCAGAGATAGTAGGAGAGGGGTTGGAGTGGTGGAAAGTCCCACTTGGGAAGTCCCTGTTCATGTCAGGAGTGTCCTTGTGACCTCACGACTGGGCTGGCTGAGACTGGAGTGGATTGTGGCACGAGGTGAGGGTGCTCACCATTCCCCCTCTCGTGGAAAAAAGAGACTCCTAAAAAAGAAGATGGGGGGGCAGCAGGTGGTGTGGTGGTTAAGGCGCTGGACTCTCACATGACCAAACATGGTTTGAATCCTAGACCCAGTGGTTTGAAAATTATGCTGGGTGTGTGTGCTTGGCCAAAATCCTGAGAGGAGAATGGGGAAGATGGAATTGCGGTATGGGGGGTGGCGGGGGAAGTTAAGCATTGAGCAGTGGACTTGTTTGGGTTTGGAGGTCCTCAGGTGGAGCTCCCCCCCCGATCCCCCACAGCAGCTCCCCGTCAGCTGTTTGGGTCCCTAGGCCACACAGGGCAAGGCTGGGACTCAGTCACCACTGTAGGCTGTTGGCAGTGGCCAGGACCGAGCTGTGATGTGGGAGCCCGGTCTCTCTCCCCAGCTCTGCCCTGATGGCATGTGACATTAAGTGAGTTGTTCTCTCACCTCCTGAGCCTCGGGTTCTTTCTGTGTCATGCGGGGATGCTCACACTGCCCGGCTCTGCGCGTAGCTCAAACAGGAAGTGGGTGTCCCACACTCGCGGTCTTACGCCCAGGGATCGGTGCAGGAGGGTAACTCACTGCAGGCCCTCCTGAGTGCTTGGGACAGACACGGACCATCCTATCCCCGAGACTGTCGAACCCTGGCTCTCTCCGGACAGAGGGGCGGTGGGTGGGCGGCTTGGTGGAGCCCAGGGCTGTCCTGGGGGCCAGCCCCCAGCCCTGTCCCTTCCTGAGTGGCCTCTCTCCCTCAGGTGGTGACCATCGCTACATGAACAACTTCGCAAACAGCTACGGGAGCGAGTGGAGCGCTCCGGACACCATGAAGAGATACTCCATGTACCTCACACCCAAGGGTAAGGGCGGGCCTACCCGCCCAGGAGGGCTCCAAAGCGTGGAGTGACACTCGGCCTCGCTCCTCCTGGGACGGGTGGCCATGCCTCCAGTGCCTGGGACCGTTGCCCCAGTGTGATTAGGAACAGCGCCTTCTTTCATTCCTTGGAGTGACAAGCATCCTGATTTGGATAACAAATTATGCTACACCCAAGAGGTGCCCCCCAATCCCCTCACTTCCAGCCCACCTCCTGGCTTCTCTCTCCTCCCAGAGGGTCTCCTGGCTCCCCTCTGCCAGCCAGCGCTGTGGCTTGGGTCTGCCTAGGGCTTTATAGGTTTGAGCCCTGTGTGGGCTGTCTCCCCCAGGGCAGGAGAGAGATCCAGATTCTTCTGAATGTCCTGACCACACAGCCTGGCCTTGTATCCCTCCTTCCCCAGGTTCCTGAGTCCCAGCTTGCAGGGCAAGTGTAGACCAATGCCTGCCTGTCCCACATTCTTGGGCAGTAGCAGCAAAACACAGCAATGCCCGTTACACAGGGTGGGCGGGGGTGCCAACTGTGCCGGCTCAGGACAGAGGGGTGTGTGCAGGTGCAGGTGGGGTGCAGGGGGCTGCGAGAGGGGTGGGGACTCTGGGGCAGCAGAGAAATGAGACCTGGGAAGGCACCCAGGGCTGGGAGGGAAGCCTCAAGGCCCTAAGCCGTATGGTGCCAGCCAGCCAGACACACGGGAGGGGCCCGGGGCACTGCGGGATGAGCTCAGCGAGAGGCACCTCTGGGCCACACCTGGTTGAAAACAACACCTGGGCTCCCCGTACCTGCCTCCTCCCCCGACATTCCTGGTGTGGGCCAGGCCCTGGCAGGCCAGTCCTGCCTGCCCCTGCCCCTGCTGAGGGTGCTGCCCTGCGGGAGGATAGGCCCTCCTAACAGCCCCCCCCAGCGTGCCCCTCCTGGGAAGCCCCCTACCCTGCCTCGCCCAGCCTGGTCCCTCCATCCCTTCCCTCCAAAGACCAGTGCTCAGTGGTGTGGAGTCCCCTGGCTGGCTCCTGCTCTGACTGGGGCCATGCACACCCCTCTGCAGGCAGTGATGAGGGGAGCAAGGCAGCACTGGTGGGTGGAAGGAAGAGCAGGACCCACCAGATGCCCCCGAGAGTCCCAGGGCCTGGTGACTGTGGGCTGGTCTCCATCACCCCAGCCTCTGCGTCCCTGTCTGGGAAGATGGGAGGCTGCTCTCAAACGTGGGGAGACTTCCCAGGCTGCGCCCTGAGTCAGTCCATGACACCCACAGTGGGGAAACAGGTTCTCCGAGTTATCTCTGCCCTAAGTGCATCTGCCAGCCCTGCTGGGGACAGGAGAGCCAGCATACCTGCCCTCTGGCAGCTCCCAGGCTCAGGGGAGAGGGACGGGGAGGGCTGAGGACAGGCCTCGAGGAGCAGTGAGATGGGGTGCTTGCCACACTCCTTCCCAGGAGAGAGGGGTTCTGAACCCTGGAGAGGACCGTGTACTCAGCAGAGAGGGCGCGGCGGTGACGGTGACAGGGTGGGGCGGGAACTGTTGGGGTGCTCGCCACACTCCTTCCCAGGAGAGAGGAGTTCTGAGAGCCCTGGAGAGGACCGTGTACTCAGCAGAGAGGGCGCGGCGGTGACGGTGACAGGGTGGGGCGGGAACTGTGGAAACAGGTCTGGGGGAAGCCGGCAGGTGAGAAATTGGGGAGTGTGGCGTAGTCCCAAGTCCAGGGGAGTGGGGGGAGGAGCCAGCAGGACCCTGGCCACGAGGAGCTGGCTGTCCCTTAAAGTAGGGTGCCCACCCCGCTCTGCCTTCCTGAGGGGCTGTGTGAGAGCCCCGAGGGGAAGCGTGGGTGCCGTGTTGGTGCCCAGGCCTGTCCTCACCAGTTCAGC